GGCTGGGAGACGGCAGGGTTGGAGGAGGTATCGGTGAGAGCTTGGTCAGGCTGGGGGGGCGAGTTATCGGTCGGATGGTGGTGAGATGATGTATTCTCTTCCCTTGTTATTTCCTTTATCATTATTATCACTGGTGGTAGCAGTAGTGATTTGTGTTATACCTTAGTTACTAAACTGTTCTTATCTCAACCCGTGGGAGTTGCATTCTTTTCGATTCTCCTCTCCGTCCCTCCGGGAGCAGGGGGAGGGCAAGAAAGGGGGGGAAGTGAGTAAACGAGTTACCTGACTGGGTTTAAACCACGACAGGTTTCTATTTTCAACAGGAGTGTGCAAGTTTCTTCTATGCACGCCAGAAGATCCACGTGCAAATCCCAAATCACATTTGTTTTCTGTGTTCTGCAGAGGTCCTAAAGTACTGCTGTTGCTAAAGTGAGAATGGCATAAAACAGCAGTGAGAAGCACTCCCAGCTCCATCTCCCTGAATTCACCTTGGCCAGTCGCACATTGCACAAGCTCTCTGATCCTTTTCTGGTATCATCCTACAGGCCTTTCTCTGGGTCCTTCTACTTGGTGCGCTGAGAACAGGCTTGGGGTGGGAGAAGTTAAAAGCTGGTTTTAGTGCAGTTTGTGCCTGGAAATCAGCGGTGTTATATTAGCCAAAGATGTTTTAAAGGCCACTTGTCTCCACATGCATGGGCTGGCAAGGTGGTCTCTAACCGGCTTTTGGGAGTGCCACAGCACTACATATCCCAGCTGGCACTGGCAGTTCTGTATGTAACTTGGCTTTCCAAAGCGGCTCCTCGACTGAGATGGAAGCGACCATTCCATTAAGTAAGAAGCAACAATGCTGACCTCTCGTGGCCACACTAGCCGCTTGCAGCAGGTACTAGAAGAGCCTCTTAGCACATCAGCTGTACGCAGCTGGCAGGCTCTGCCGGGTACCAGCACAACTGGGGCTCCCTGGCCCTGGGGAGGAGGTGCAAAGGGAGCTGGCACCTGACCCACACACCGCCTCTTGAGATGCTTCTCAGAATGGGGGCATCACCTTCCCATTGCTGTCAGGTCTGCCTCAGTGGCATTGACTGAATGAATGAATGAATGAATGACTGCAAATTTTGGCCCCAGCTGAGGAGGGCACCCGTCCTGAGGCCAGCACCCAACGTGCTGCTATGGCACAGAAGTCAAACTGGCTGCCCACATTTGCTTACCTGCTAAACAGTGACATATCTGGAGGAGAGCAATTAGGGAGCACTGAGCATGGCCAAGTACTGCTGAAGCTGAATGTACAATTGCAGTGCAACATTTGCTTTTAAACTTTGCCTTATTCTCTACATACTAATGGCTGTGGGACTAAGCCTAACATTTCAGGCCCTCTGAATAACTCTTAGACAGCACTTCCACCCTCTACCCTCCAAAAAAATACAAACCATCCTACAATTAGAAAGCTTCCTCCAGTCACTGAAACACGGACATCTGCAGAGATTAAGAGCAGAGTATATGAGAACTACTCACAATGGGTATTTGTACAAGTTTGTACAAGTGAACCATAGCAATTTAAAGCTAAAAACAAAATGAAGAAACTTGGCAATTGTCAGCACCAGTTAAACAGCTCCTTTCAGCACTATGGTGGTTTGCCTTGCTCAAGTGCTACCTGTGAAGTGAGCTTTGTCAATGAGGGATCAGAAACCCATTATTAATCATCTGACAAAGCAGAGGAGTACCAAGTGGCAGGCAACATGGCGCTGCAGCAGGAATGCTCAGTTGCCACATTGAGGCCACCACATTTTAATGAGGCAAGGCTTTGTCACCTAAATCCTCTCTGACCCCTGAGATCACACAGCCTGATACGGGGTTGATCCATTGAAGGTCCAGTGCAGGGTGTTTTGGTACCCTATCTGTAAGAGTACTCATGTTTCTGGAGGACTGAGGTCACCTTGAAGGTCACTTGTTTTCAGTGACTTGTTTTCAGTGGTCAGACATCACACCTACATGTGTTATGGAGATAGCCAAAGAGAAGAGTTTATGAAACAGTGATTGGACACCTAAAGCAGAGAGAGGATGTGCATTTCAATTAGCCAGTGAGGAGTAGGCAGCTCTGGAAAGAGGTGACTTTCCCTATCTCTTCCTCTTCCTTATGTCTGCGATGGGCACAGATGTGTGTCCACAACAGACAACAGTATGTTGTGCCCCAGAGACAGTTTCACATCCGGTTTGTTGGCAGCAGCAGTGAAGCTGTGACTTCACTAAAGACTGGGAGGGTGGTGAGGCACTGGCACAGGCTGCCCAAAGAAGCTGTGGCTGCCCCATCCCTGGCAGTGTTCAAGGCTAGGTTGGACGGGGCTTGGAGCAACCTGGTCTAGTGGAAGGTGTCCCTTTCCATGGCAGAGAGTTGGAACTGGGTGAGCTTTAAGGTCCCTTCCAACCCAAATCATTCTGTGATTCTACATTTGTTGTTCACCCACTGCTGACGGGTGCAAGCTGTGAGCCTGAGGGTGCATGTGGCCAGCTCAGCACAGGAGCAGCACTGCTGGGGGTGATGGCCCTGCTCCTGCACCCAGTAGAGCCTGAAAAGCATGACTCATGGAGCAAACCCTCCAGCACTGCTTCCCTTTGCAGCAAGCGCCATCACCAGTGGTGAGGGCAGACCCCCACACACTGCACTCCCTGCCAAGGCGTTCATTGATTTAGGACACAGTCCAAAGAGGGTAAAGGTGCTCCTTGCTTTCTGAAAGCTTTATAGCAGGCCTTCAAATAGCATAGCCTGGAGCTGCAAGAGTGTTTCTACCTGTGGTCAAACACCCTCCTTCTCCCTGCATTCACCCAGAGCCAAGGGGGGTCTGGCCCCTCTCCTCCTTATACCACACCAGCCAGTACTCTGAGTACAAGATGGCTTAGCTCCTGGGTGAAACCCTGCTGTACGCAGGGGATGTGAGTCATCCCTAATGAAGTGATTTTTTCTTTTTCACCCTTTTTTTTTTTGGATGAGGAGGCTTCAAGAAAGGAATTTGGAAATCTCCAGCCCCTTTCCAAAAGCTTTCATTAAAACAGCCCATAAAAGCAGCCTCTGGAAACTTTAGGAGGCCTTTAAGAAAAAAAAAATAAAATTGAAATTCAGTTTTATTGAACAAATGGGAAGCACTGAAAATATTCAGAAAATTAAAATTAATTTGAAAATAATTAAAAATCAGAGAAGCTCAGTGTATGTTTCCAAGTTCTGGGTAATATTAAAGTAACATTAAAAAATCGCAAAGGAAATTTACTGTGAGCAGGTGTTTGAAATAATTGGGGGAGAAAAAGGCTTGACTATTAATTAATGGAGAATTATGAACGTCCCTTGTTGGAATTTTTTCTTGTAGTCAACATATTTTTAACCACATGAACTTAGCGAACACATTCTAAAAGTGTGGAGTTGCTTTACAGACACATACAGGGAGCTGAGTGTTATTTTATCCCCATTTATTCTGTTTTCACCAGCGGCATGCATTTAGCAGGAGCTGTTGAGAGGACTGAGGTCCTATGGCAAAGTCTTCCCCACCAGCTATAAAGCACAAAGGCTAATATTTTCAGGACAAAAACTCTTACGCTAGGGTCAGAAGCACTGAAAACTAGAACACAGTGACTGGCTTCAAGAAATGCAGATGAAGAGCCTGGTTATGCGTAGGAATTCACTCTGGGGCTTCAGCCAAACAGGTTTTTGAATACCTACGGAACTCATTAGGGCCCCGTACAGACATGGACTGGGGCCTGATTACAAGCTCAAGATGTGGTGACAGTACCACGATGTTCCCAGCAGAGCAGTGTTGCTACCAACACTGATTACATTAGGCACCCCACTAGAAGACATTTTTCAGAAGAAAGAAGAAACAAAGCCTTTGTGTGAAGGTGATATAGGCCTCCAATTTGGAAGGCAATTCTCTTGCCTACTTGCATAGGAAGGACACCAAGAAAGGAGCTTTGCCTCAGTTAACTGGCACAGTGCTGTTTAAATGATTGGTGGTCTCAGGGCTGTCTTGAGCGGGTACAAAGGAGCAGCAGATGCATGCCCTGTGCTTGGCTGTTGTAGAATTGTTCTCTGGTCTCTTAACTTCCTCCCAGCTGGATTGCAATGGCTTTGCTCTATGTTGGCCGGGAGCACAGGGCTGCTTGGGGGGTGAGTGCAGCTCACCAAACTGCCTTTGGTCAATACAACTTACGGCTTAATCAGGGGGGTGTCTTGTTGTGTACTTAGATCTTACACCTGCAAAGCTCAGGCTCATCAAACACAGGCTGATATAAAAGGGAGCCTTCCAGTTTAAGAAGCTCCTCAAGCATGGTGAATGTCTCAAGTGCTGCAACCAGAGTTGTGGATAATCACGCAGAAAAAAGTGCTACTTACTGAATACAAGCTGGTGCCAGTCAGATTCTTTCCTGCTTTCTCACCCTGTAATTTTTTTATCAGTTTTTTCCTTTGCTCTTCTTCTTTTCATTAGCCAGCCCAATTTATGGTTGATTTAAAACTCTGCAGGAAACATTCCTTCTGATTTCAGGCTGTTTTATTAGTATGAACTCCTAGATGGGGTAAGGTTAAAGTACATTCCCCAGAGAGCAATACTGAGTAACAAGCCAGTGTTCCAAGTGTGACAATTTAGGAAGAAAAGAGTGACACCAGGTTCCTTGAGTGACCGAGCACCAGAAATATCAGTAATCTCTTCTTTCCTCCCAGGTGACCTGGCCTAAGGACTTGCAGCACAATTGCAGCTGAGAGCACCTCAAGTCCTAGTTATTTTCAGAGCAAGCTGCTTTCTTACAACAGGTGAGCACAAGCTGTGAGTCTGAGCAAACCTTTGACTTAAGTATATTTGTTTCAGTGGAAATTACTCTTCTTTTATCTTCATGTATCTGGAGACAGCAGTTGGAGAAAAGGCCATGTTTCTTTCTATTACTTACTGAATATGACACTATTTATAATTCATACTTGTAAATGACAGGCACATTAAATACAGCAAACAAAAACCTTGGAGTAAACAAAATCAGCATTTATTCCTCAGTCATCTTTTTACAAGGTTGCTTCATGTTTTTGACAAAAGAATTCATACCAGAGGTACATGAGTTAATCTACAAAACCAGATATGCAAGCCAAAGTGATATGGTACATGAATATTCACATGCTTCATAATTCTGTACTCACATGCCTGACATCTAAATTCAAGAGAAGTTGCTCTGGGGTACCCAAACCTTAGTTCTGCCACACCAAAATGTGATCACTAACTCCAAGGACAAACCTAAAGAACATATTTACAAAGCATTATCTCTACCAGTCTTCCTCTAAGATTTGAAACAGGTAGGTAATTGTTCAGCTACCAAGCCTTCATGGAAGGTGAAATAGTCTAACAACGTCCCTAAATGGATTCATGCAATGTTTAGTTTGATTCACACAAGACACAAGGACAAGTATCTATGGTGATGACATAACTAGTATGTGAAGATGCAGCATCCTACTGGAAGGAGTTTAGAGCATCGGTGCTCATTCATTCACCACTACTCTAGGTTTGACACTAAGCAAAACTTCAAGTGTTAACACATATTCAGAGTTCACAAGCTAGGAATTTCCCTGCTTACTGGTGGTGCCACAGGAAGGGATGGGATGCTTCCAGGTCACCATCAGCAGATTAGAGCTGACAAACACCTACTTTTCTCACAACTCCAGCTGAAAGATGCTGTCAGTGATTTGTAATATCAGCATTAAATTGAAGATGCTAAAATACCCTGACTCCTACTGCAGCAGTTTAACCACTGCATAAAAACCGTATGTCGATGGAGATTCCTTAGCTGTTAAAAAAAAAAATCAGGTTCTTTTTATTTTTACTGGTCAGGAAAGTAGATTTTTTTTTGACAGGGATTGTGGATTAAACTGAGCTTTTGTACTACTCACATCACAAAAGTTAAACCAAGCACTTCAGTTATTTAATTCTGTGGAGCTACACTGTTATTTCTGCTTGGAATCAAGTTATAGCAGAATTTAGCTTAGGCTTTAACTTTATTCAGCTTCTGACATTAGAAGGAATATGAAAAAGAAATTAAGAAGTAGCTTCTGTTGTAGTCTGCAGAGGGGATTACCACAGACTGCCAACTGCTTATGCTGTGAGGGTACTCTGGGAAGCAACTGGCTGCAGGTGCTCACAAACATGGACATGATAATGTGGACGTCTTTCAGCAGTAAAGGTTTTTACCCATTTCAGAGCATCTGGTATATTCACTATGTAAAAAGAGTTGAAAAGCCAAGAGTGTCCCACTCCGAGCCAAATAAATTCGCTTCTAATCCAGATGCTAAAGTCAGACTACTGTAGCATACCTTGGGCAAAATTCTCTGAGGTTTCCTCTAGCTGAATCTCTCTGCTGCATCTGTAGAAATGGGAATAACAGCATCCTAATCCTCATGAGCACCATGTGACACCTGTCTTTCAGTGCTTGACATGCTTTTCTGAGTACAGTTACATCTGTGACTGGGAAAACCTGTCAGTCACAGGGTGCCTTCAACTTCCAGTGACTTCCTGCAGGTTTTGCCTGCAGAACATCCCCTTTGTAACATTACTGCTAAAACTGCCTTTTCAAACAGAAAGACCTCTCCTTTTTTTGCAGTCCAGCAGGGAGTCTGTATGGAAACCTGGAGGTCAAATCACCACCTAATATAAATCACTATGTTCCCATGATATGGCTTTTAACTTTTACACATCGGAAAAAATACAGTGGTGTACACAGACCCAGTACCGCATCTTGACACTTTATCCCTTCCACAAGTGATATTTCTGTATCACTCTTGTACATGCAGCCATCTCTAACTGAATGTAGGTATACAGGTAAATGGAGTAATGACAGTTAGTACAGTGCCGTTCACACCCAAATCTGCTCTCAAGCACAGTAATTCACAGTTTCCAAATGCAATTGCCTAAACTGATACACAATAAAATTATAATGAGCAAACTCACATAGATGCATAGACATATTAGAACCTAGGCAATTTATCGTTATTACCTAGTAGAAAATAAATAATTATGTGTCAAAACAATAATTTAATATAGCAATCTCTAGCTATTAGTCATTAGAGAACATATTTAAATCATAGAATCACTGACTGGTTTGGTCTGGAAAGGACCTTAAAGATCATTGAGTTCCAAACCCCGTGCCATGGACAGGGACGTCTTCCACTAGATCAGGCTGCTTAGAACCCCCATCCAGCCTGGCCTTGAACACTTCCAGGGATGGGACAAAGTAAAACAGAACCAAAAGCAAACTTCCACACACCAACAGACACACAAAACAGCATGCTGCTCAAAGTGCAATGAGACAGAATTAGAAGGCCACTAAAAAGAAGCTGTGTCAAGTTATTATTTAGCTAAAATTACAACAGCCAGAAAAGATACAAACAAACATCTCTGGAAACATTTTTCTCAGGCATATTGCTATACATAGCAATCATAATTACACAGCAGTATATTTTTTTTATCCTTACAGTGATAATGATATTGGTAATGTGCCTCCCTTTTGACTCAGTGCCACAAATCTAGTCTATGGAGCAGTAACAAGAAGTATGCTAGGGATTTTTAACTCCTCCGCTGGACACCTGAAGGCCTATGCTTATGCTTAACACTGGGCACCAAATGGCACCTTCAGTCACTGTAGAGACTCGTTCAGTCCAACCTCCTCCTACTGTCCCCACCTCAACTTCATCCCCCACTCACAGGAGCTGTTCCAAGGATGAAACAGTGGGACAATTTACAGATAAGACTCAAGAGTGTGAGCATCATTATCCATGTTAGTATGAAAGTTAAATCCCTTCAGTACATTAGCACACCGCCCTGTTGCACAAGAAAGAAGCTAGTGAGGTGCCTTCTCCTCAACTCATGCTTTATAAAAGGGACTAACCTCTCATGGTGTGTGAAGTACGCCAAGTTCTTCCAACCTCCCTAGTAATCCACGTGTGTGTATTTCTGACAGAGCATTTTACGGATGAGCTCTGAACGTGCATAACAAGACCACATTTTCCTACAGCTCCTGGAAGATTTGTGCCTGACTCAGAACAACACACTCTAGCACACGGCTGACCTTTATAGCACTAAGCTCTTAATTACTACTCAGATGTATATATCCATAAATTACAAATCCTCTTAATTCAACTGAGCAACAAAGCAGATAAGACTGTAGTCACACTGTTATTTTAGTATAGTTAATAAGATTCAAAATTACATGCAATTTATTCACACCCATGTAAAATCTACCACATGAAAAACAAAACCCCCAACCCAATCCTACAATACTGCCACTAAAGTGCATAATGAGATCTTGTCATTCCAAAGTGGTTTGCTGCATTTCAATAGGATCATCGAATTGTTTACTGTGCAAAAAGCTACAGCATCTTGAGGGCAGTCAGAACAGGAGTGGGAACTCCAGCCCTGACAGAAAAGTAGCTTTTCTATTTATTTTGCACAGGCAAACATAAATGGTAACTAACAATAAGCAGCCCTGTTTCTACCTAAAAGTCATATGCTCGTTTTCTTCCTTTCAGACTGCTTAGTCTTTTCCCAAAGAAACTTCCTGCTAGTCAAAGTTTACTTTATTTAAGACTACAAATAAGCACTTGAAGGTGGCAGTGCTCTACATGGTATCAAAGTTACATGGTGAGTTATTGTGTGATAATAGTAATGGGTCTCATATATTTGCAACCACTAGTACAACACATCAGTATTTCTTAGATTCCACAGCTGTAAGAAGCCCTATTCATTTACAGGAGCAGTCTTAAGAGATCTACTACGATGGCTTTAAAACACTGGATCAAACTGGCTGTAGAGAATGTCATGGCCATGATGTCCCATTAATGGGCCCCTTTTATTTCAACATGAATACTATCCAAAAAGGACAAAGGTATGGAAAACAATTCATTGGGTGATTATGAATAATACTGGTTTGTCTTTATGTTGATCCCCTTTAAAAAAAAAAAGACATAATTTAAATATAAATACATATGAAATGTATAGATAAATATATAGCGATAGCTATATTAATATGTAGTCGATCAGAACTGGATTAATCAAAGGAAATCTAAAGGCACCACAAAACGTCAGCATTACTGAATAGAATACTCACTATACTTTGCATTTATGTAGCTCTGAAACCAAGCAGTTAGAAAGCCATATACAGCAGGGAATAAGTCTCATTATTTTAATCTCACAACCTAGGCAACTAAGACTCAGATTCATCTAACGATGAGCCATACGCAGACAATCTCAGGTAAAGAATTCAGCTGTTTTGACTCCCATTTCTTTATCTAGTTAATAATCAGAAAGTCTGGGAGCAAAATAAGAAAACTTTAGAAAACAGAGTATTTTCATTTGGATTTGTGTCCAGAGGTTATAATGAGCAGAGCACTGAATCTTCTCTTTGCCAATAGTCTTAATCAGTCCTATTAGCATTAAACAAATTAGCTGGTATAAAATCACCTTCTGTTAAAATAACTCCGAATTATACCTGCCCATTGGAAAAGACAGTCTGCACAGGTACAAGTGAATAGTGCCTTGTTCTCTTGCTTGTTTAATTAATCAAAATGCATTTAAAGGAACAGTAATTCATCAGGCTAAAAAATCCTGAAGTATATCATACCACGGCTGCAGCAAACTCGCCTATGTGCAAGGAAAGCCTCATTTCTCACTTCCACTGGTGTTACATTAACACAGATTTAACTTTGGTTGAGCTAATCCTTAGCTCATTTTAGTGTGACAGGAAAAACAAACTTCAAATCCTCTACATAAGGCAGCTTTAAATTGGCTGCAATTTCTCCTTTTCTTTTCTTTTTTTTTTTTTAAATTATTTGACTCCAGTGTCAAATCAACCTTGGATACAGATACAACACAGTGACAGACTGCCTTCTAGGCTGACATGAGAAACAGTCAATTTAACCTTATAATTTGAGCCTTCAATAAGTAAATGAGGATGTAAGGTAAGGTGAAAGGTTCGTTACAAATTCAAGCTAATGCAGTGCCCCCAGACATGAAGAACATGGTGCTCCATAAGAAACACCTTCCTGTGACCTGGAGAAATACTTTCCTTCTTTCAACAGCTGAATAGAGAAGCAGCAGCTCAGCAATGTTCTGCGGCTAAAGTGCTGTTGGTCCGTTTAGAAGTCTCAGTCACGGCAGTGGGGTAAAGCACCAAGACTGCTGATATTTTCAAATCTCCTAGCAGCAGTAACCACACAGCAGCTTTTCTGCAAAATAAACAAAACATGAATCCAGTTAATTCAGCAGTATACTTTTTCTATTTGGTTAAGCATTCTAGGACAACCACATGGTGGTTTCTTCGTGCATAAGAAAAAAAAGCAGCGCTGAAGCTTCTTGCTTACAAAGGGTTCTTGCAGCCACCTATTTGTGAGATGTTTTATACAATATTAAAAAGACAAGGCCTCTTTGTTGAGTGGAGAAATAGTCCTGGAGGTCTCTCTTGAAATGCAGCTACTCTGTTTTTTTGCCTCTCTTGTCACACAGATCACAGCATGAAAAGGCATGCTGCAAACCTCTCCATTTATTTGTGTTACCACTGCAAGCATTTATAAAGCCAGGTCTAAATCAACTGGCACTTGAGTGTATTATTTTGGGTTGAATGTGGTAACCATACTACTTGCCTGATAAAAATAGCTAAAGGGATTCTTTAAAAATAAAGCATTGCTATGACTTTAGATCCACTCATTAAGTAAACTCAAATAAACTCCAAAAAGAAAAACACATGCAGAGGAAATAACACTGGAAAAGCCAAAACCAGGTTTTCCTGCAAGTTAGATCATGGGTAGGTTACTATGTTACAAAGCTATAAAAAGTTTATTTAAAAATAATTTTGACTGCTGTTGGACGGTCAATTTATCTCAAAGTTGATTTTGGTTGTCATAGAAAATTGTGTAATATGGTGCTTCCTGCATTAGAGAGGGAGAATTTTCACCATTTGGTTGCTGCGCAGTTCATGGCTGAAATGGGAAATACAGATAAAAGCACTAGTCCTGTAACAGTCAGGAAAACCTGCTTAGAAAACTACTACGCAGAAGCACACAGGTGATCAGACCAAAGCTTCACCTAACCTGTCCCAGCACCAGTGAAGTGGGGACGAATGCTGAGCATCACAGAGGAGTATTCATTCCCACTGGGTTCCCACGACAGAGGCTGATGCTCAGACAATACCATATCAGGAATTTATGTGGCTTCAGAGAGCAAGCAGGATATAATAATGGCACCTTAAATCTCACTGACCTCCAGTGTACCACAGAAATAGAGTTTCAGGTCCCTGAGATAGCTCATTGAAAGATCTATAACTTCTGTGTAACTATACTACACTGTATAAAATCTGTTCTAATCTCACTCAAAACAGAACTGAAATTTCAACCTCTCACAATACTTTTTTACATTTCTGGACGAACCCTGTTGCAAACAAAACCCAGTACATCACTTGCCCTACCAAGCAGATGATGGATGATGGCAGCATTAAAAACTTGCTTGTGGTGGAAAGTGGACTACTTTTATTTTGGCATCCTGGTTGTTACTCATGACGCACAACAGAAAGGAAATGGTTTTACAGTATGTGTGCTCTCAGCCTAATTCACATCTTGACCCTCCACTGAGTTTTGGACAGAGATGCCCCCAGAACATTTGAGAGGTTCCCATGGTCCTTCAACAGAAGCACCAATTTCTGTGGTAGCCAGTAAAAGCGGCTGTGGGAATTAGTGTACTGGTTTATGGAGATACTGTACTGCCTGAGGAAGCCTGATTTCAAAGCAGCCAAGTGAGTATGCTTTGGTCAAAGACCAGAGTCAGAACATGAGAGCAGACTTGAGTGTCCCTGATCCCCAGGGGAGGCAACCAAGCCTGCCTGAGAACCACTAATGAAGTGTTTGTTAATGAAAGGGCAAAGACAGGCAGCCAGAAAAAAAGGACAGTCTGAGAGATGCTCTACCAAAATTGTTTGGGTTGCTACAGGCTCAAAGGACAGAGAAGTGCTCTGTTAGAACTGGGTCCTCAGAACTGTGGAGCGGCTTCTTTTAGGGGACACCTTGCTTTCATTTCTCTACAGTTAGTGGAGCTGCCCTGAGGGCCTGGCTCGTGTCTCTGCTAAAAAGTAATTACTTTTCATATTTCTACCCTTTTTAAACCATACTCCTAACAGCATGAAAACCTGAAAGCTTTCAGCACTGAAAAATTATTGGGTGAAACCCTGCCTCGTGAGAGCCAGTGGGAGCATAACCATTCCCTCTAAAATGGCCAGGTTTTGCAGCACATATAGCTTCATACATATGAAGTTTTTTGCACATTGCTGTAACTTGGTTTAAGTGATAGGGCCAGTTTACATTTTGAATACTTTCCAGACAACAGCAGGGATGGTGGTGGTGAATACAGTTTGGACAGTGGCTTTGTTTTCAGGTTTTCAGCTGCCCACTGATCCCTTCTGCAGAGGATACAGTATTTACATCTGAAGAAACGTTTGAGACCTGAAACAAACCTTCTGTTTGGCAGCTCTTTGAGAACGGTTATTGAGCCGGAGGTGGTTGGGAGGCAGAGTCGCCTTTAGCCGCCTTCTAGGAGGTAAAAAAAAGAAAGATGCCATTGCTGCAGTATTAATTGAAGATAATCACATTTAAGGTAATGTCGGAACACTGCAAAATCAGCAAGTTTAGCAAAGCTATTTTTCAAGCTGCACAAAAACTATGAGCAAAACACCAAGGGAGGAGCTAAAAAGGAACACATGAGTTGTAAGGTTTCTATTAGGGTAGGGTTTCCCCGAGAAGAAAACTGGTGATGGGAAGAAGCACAGCAGGTAAGCAGCCTGTGTTCTTGCAGCATTTGGAAAAGATAGCTTCTTCCCCAGGTGGCAGGAATTGGAGCTTCACTGGAGTCCAACTAAGGGATTTGAATTGTACCCCATGAAACCCCCTGAAGAGATATGTAGCCGTGACAAACTCTCTGAATTTTACCGTGCATGCACACTTACAGATCTTCTAATAATCTCATGGGCATAGCTGTTCTGGGAGATTTTAATGAAAACTACATTTTAGTGAAAACTGTGATAACTTATTTGATTGTTATTATTGCCCATTTTATACTACTTTTTGTTATCCTTACTCTGTATAACAGGAACATTTTGCAAGGACAGAGCTGTCAGACCACTACTCAGTCCATCCTGCCCAGAACCCACACCACCTCATCAGTAGAGGTAATACTGCTTTATTGTCATCATAAACTTTGCTGTTATTTTTTTTAACGAATAATATGGTATCTTAATTCTTAATGATGGCTGCAGCTCAAAAGGCACCTTGATATATATCAGCAGCCTTCCAGTATTGGAAGGGGGCCTGTAAGGATGCTGGGGATGGACTCTTCATTAGAGACTGTAATGGCAGGACAAGGAGTAATGGGTTCAAACTTAAACAGGGGAAGTTTAGATTAGATATAAAGAAGAAGTTCTTTACTGTGAGGGTGGTGAGGTACTGGAATGGGTTGCCCAAGGAAGCTGTGAATGCTCCATCCCTGGCAGTGTTCAAGGCCAGGTTGGACTGAGCCTTGGGTGACATGGTTTAGTGTGAGGAGTCCTTGCCCATGGCAGGGGGGTTGGAACTAGATGATTTTAAGGCCCTTTCCAACCCTAACTGTTCTATGATTTTATAGATGTCCTAGGCAGCATTTTATTTAACATAGGTGCGCTTTGTCTGCAACAAAGGAGGAAGTGAATATTGCGCTTCAAATGCTGTAAAGATTCTGACACCTGGCTTAAACTGGGCTTACACCACAAGACCTGTTTAATCTCCTCAGGAACCACCAAACCAGAGTGGACTCACTTAAAATCAGCCAACAGGAAGCTCATGAACAGTGCGGCTCTCCTGAACTCACTGACTACTTTTACAGAGGAATAATAAAAACAACTTAAAACTTATTGATCCTCCAGCTCAGCCCAACTGAATTGTTTGTGTGAACAAACAACTGCTTCTTTTGTGCTGGCCACTAAGCTGGCTACCCTCAAAGGGCAAGACACTGCTTAGGTACAAAGATACATACGGGGTGAGGTCCCAAGCTCTGTTGGATAGGTATCCCTTGGGAAGAGGTAGGATGAAATCTAACAGCACTCATGGGGGACTTGAGGAGAGTCTGAAAGGGTTTTCAAAACAGGAATCAGAATCATCCCCAGCTGGAAAACTCTTTTTATATGGTAATGCAGTGCTAATTTTCTAAAAGGTCTAATTTTGCTAAGAAATGGATCCACTTAGTAATCGCATGATCTTATATTTCTTATCAGATGTGCAAGAACTGATGAGCAAGTATGAGCATGCAAATCATAACAAAAAAATAAAGCAAAGGGACACATGTGGCTCACAGTGGCAAGAAATGCAGCAGCAAGGAAGATTCAAAAACAGTTAAGAGAAATGTTAAAGCAAAGAGCGATGTGGCAACACAAGAAGGCAACAGCAGATCTACAACACACAAGGATATTTAAGTTTAGAGACCTGGAGTCTGCAGTGGAGCTTGTGGTCTGATAACCATGGGTGTTTTAAGGCAGCAGTTGCACTTAATCTCCAGCTAAAGGAAAACCAGAATTCTATTAAGAGTTTTTCCCAGAATCTTACAATTCAATTATCTCCCACAGGTCATATATTCTGCCATCATGCAACGCTGTCATTTCAGGATACTATGCCAGATGACAGCTAATCCATGAAGTAAGTAAATTTTGCTTCACAGCAAAAATGCATTCAGATAACTTCAGAGCATTTTATGGACACAATGAACAACATGAATGAAGTGGCATTGTGATATTCTATGTGGACATAAAAAAACAGTAAAGTCATGATAGTTCTGCAATAGAGCAGCACAAGTGACACAACCATGACATGATGGCATGGAACACACATTTCAAAGATATAGGGATTATATACCATTTATCCTTGATGAGAAGCTTTGAGATGAAATCTTTGGCCTGATCAGAAACACCTCGAAATTCCTCATCTTCAAAATCCCAGCTACAGGACAGGATGTTGTTGAGGGTCTCATTATCATCATCACCCAAAAAAGGAGACAATCCACTGAGGCTAAAGTAAAAAGAAATATGTTCAATCCCCCTATCTTTTCCCCTTCCTGTACACAACCTCCAATGTGTCACTTATGACTGTTCTGCCATTCCTGGCATATCTTGCAACATATTATTGTCTAAAAAAGTCTCCAGACCATTCCCATTCTCTCTTCTATTTACTTGTTTAAATAACCACCCTTCTTCCCTGATAAACCAAGCATTACTGTCTTTCATGGTGGGTCATATTTTCTGGCCACTCTTGCACATACCTATTGGGAACTTACCAAGCAGTCTACGTTATTCTGGAAGTGTGATGTTCAAACAGTCATGAGAGATGTGCAATGAAACAAAGAAGAAAACTTAATCGTGACCAAAAAAGTGGAGAGAACACTGAATATAGGATTTGGAAAGAAGCCTACATTTTCTATTTTGGGTACAGATTTTGTCCATCTTCCAATATAACAACAAATTTGGACTACTGACTCAGTTCAACCCAGAAACAGCTTACAAAGCAAATACTGAATCCTACTCACAGCATATAAGCAATGACCCCTAAACTCCACATGTCTGTAGGAAAGGAGACACACTCATAATTCACAACTTCAGGAGCAAGAAATTCTGGAGTCCCAAAGTTAACTCGAAGTTTTTCCCTGGGTTGATATCTAGGAAATGAACATTAACAGAGGACATCAGTTACAGATCTAATTTAAGTTGCATCTCGTAAGTTCTCTAGTACTTGGAGCGATTTCAGAAGCATACAAGAAATTCAGTAGGAAAACAAGGACAGACAGAGGTACAAATTAAAAATAAATATACCCATATATCAAATGAAAAATATTTGCAAGCTTCATATCATACTTTAGGGCAAACCTGAACTCCTATTACAAAGGAAGACATTCAGATTTCAAGGATTCCTCAGAACAGCTGTTATCATCGGTTTTGGACTTCTCCATATCATAGGCATGGAATTTTTAACCAGTAAATCCTTCACTGAAGTTATGGTACCTAATTAAACTAGAAAGTGATATAGCATGGGATATGCTGTAACAGTCCTTCATGGTCTCTTACACTCTTTTTTGAAGAATCTCATAATATTGGAGACAGGAGACCAGATAAGATGTACCACTGATTCTGTCCATTTTAGCGGTTCCAAGATAATCATGTGCATGCTTAACTCAGAATCAGCCCTCTTTCAACCTTCTACCTGAAAAAAAAGGCTTCAAACAAATCTTTTTTACTCCAAACAATCCTTATTAAAAGATAACCCTGGTTAAAAGAGACATACTAAATCTGTCCTAAGAGCAGCAGGAGATCGTTATGTATCAAATTTCATTGCAGAGATGCAAGACTTTTTTCATTGTTTCCTAATTCACTTACGATTAGCAAGAACACATGCACGTACCTTCTTGCCAATCCAAAATCAATAATTTTTATTTGATTTGCTGCTCTGTTCACACACAGGATATTCTCAGGCTGCAAAGAGAAAGCAAAAAATACTTTAATGAGAAACAAGTGTCAAAAAATGGGCTTCTAGAAAACTGTAGGGAGAAAAATACTAAAAACACAGCAAATATCTTATAAGCACTTTTTGCTTTCCTTCTTGTTCAGATTTTTCTGCATAGGTACTCCCTGCTATCACACAACAGTTGGGGCTGTGTGTTCTGTGCCTTGCAACTGCTTTTTCTTCCCCTTGTCTTTTCAATTTGACATAAGGCAGCAGTTCAGATAAAGAACTAAATAGGGGGAGGGAAGATAGAGCCTGCAGACTTCCAAAGTCGGGTATCAGGATGCTGGCACTGTGGTTTTACAGACCTTAATAAACTGACACTGATTAAAAAAAAGTATAATAATTTCTTGGGCTTTGAAGTTTATCTTACAACGTTAAGTTTCTGAGTTCACAAATGTTCTGGCAGTAATTGATTGAACACTGATATATTAAGCTAGTCACGTCAACTTTATGCTTTTCTCAGATATTTTAGCAAAAGGTAGGATTCACAGGTTAAATCCTTCTGGGGATTTGCATAGGGTCAAGTGTTGTTCTTCACTTCTCTGGCAGGAATCCATTAACTTCCTAGAATTACGCCAAATTCATACAGAAGGGACAGAACAGAATTTAGCCAACTGTCTTTGAAATGTAAATACCTAAAATACAGTCTCATATTCACTGCCAGCAGTTTTATAGCTACTCTGTCTTGTTGCTCACTGAATCCTCTTTGAAACAAAACAGGCCTCAACACTTAAAACATTAGTTAACCTTTGCCACCATTGCTAATTCATTTTACATGTTGGACTTTTAAACACCATAGGACTTTTAAACACCAGATGTCCATAGTTTCTGAGATCTGGATGATTATGGTCAGGATGATTTTCTTTCAATTTCAAGCTTTCTTTCCCAAACTCATTTGTTACTGACAGCAATCTATGAACAAGCAAAACAGAAGGGAGAAGCCATAGCTGGCAAGCACACGAGAAGAGGTCGCTGGGAAGAATTTCTTGGATTGTATATGTATCTTTTTGTCAGTAGTTTGACCTCATATTAAAACTGTGCCATCTCCAAGGTCATACTTAATGTGTCCCAAAGAACCATGCAAACTTCTGCTTGACAGATTTCTAGGTAACTGGATGTTTATAAAAAAAAGAGAAAAGTGAGTCTGGTCATTGAACAGCAACTTAAGCAGGTCCCAGCAAGCATCTGCTCATTTGCTTAACCACTGCAATAATATATACGCTAATAACATTAAAGATGTACTATATTAACCCAGTAATTACAAGCCAAAGCCAGCAGCTGTAATAAAAATCTCACCAAAGAGAAAACCATCTAGTGCACTTTTTGTTTATTTTTGCTTTGTTGCAAAGCTCAGGGATCACTAGGAAGCTTTACAGCCAGTCATAAAACTAAAGACATCATCCCGTTTTATTCCTGCACTGAACAGAGGTAAGAAACAAGCCTATTATTTGATAAAAACTTGGGTTAAGGAAGAAAGAGACAACTTAAATATACAGCCTAATGAAAAATACCCTCACAACAAATGTTTTCCAAGGGGGGGAGGGGGGCAGTTAACCATTAGCAGTCAACCAAAGTAAGAATTTGCAATTGGTGGATTGTTTTTTAAAAATAAGTGAGGGGCCTTTTCGTGTATATAGTGAAATAGTTCCGATAACTAAGCAAGCACATGGCAACCTGCCACCCTTCCCTGGGCTTTCAGCTACAGTAGCAATTATTGCCTAGCCCAACATAGATGTTCTGCATTTGTTACATCAGCCACTGACTATTTTTATTTATTTCTTTCATTTCAGCAAGTACATTTTAATGTATTTTCTCTTAAGCTGGCTATCTATTGCTGCCTTTTCATGACTACAACAGAATAGTGTAGTCCTCAAAAACATGTGAGGACTTCTACTGATCCTGAATGACCCTTGAATTTAGTTCCACTCACTCATGCCTTGGTTTCTGCATGGTAAAAAATGGAGATAATTGCAACCCTATGGCCTACATGTAAAACAGAGATCTTGTGCAGTTGAATTAAATAAGATTTGCATGCTATTTTGAGATCCAAATATCAAAATTGAAAATAGCAAGATACTTGTCAGCTGCTGGCTTTCTGTAAAATCAGTCTCTGGAAAATTCAAGCGCTATGAGGCTTGATGACGTATGACCACAATTCTTGTCTAATTTACTTACTCCTGTAGTAATTTAACTGATCTCAATGTGGTTAAAGTAAATACACATTGGTCTAAGGAAAGCAGAATAAGGTCCTTTGTAGTTTCTGCCATGGGAATCTAAGCTGTATGGCTTACCATTAAGAATAAGAATTTCCACAGCTGTCATTGCACAAAACATACATCTCAATTCTCTACCTTGAGATCCAAATGAAGAATGTACATTTGGTGCATGTACTGAATTCCCTCGCAGATGTGTTTTATGAACAAGATAGTATCCATCTCTGTCAAATTGCAGTTTTCATCAATAATTCGGTCAAATAACTCTCCTCCTTCCACACTGATGAGAGAAAGACAGTAAATTGGTAACCAAGTCCAAGTCCAACCCCATACAGTTAGAGTAATATAGCATTTATGCTACTATTTTAATACTTTACAGTCAAATTCAGTAAGGCAGGTATATAATATGAGCTTGTACTCTGACCTGAACTTTTCAAGAACTGGGTTCTGCTACCTACTGGCCTGAATTTCTTAAAGGTCTGAGAGCCCAGCCTCCCATCCATTGATACCCATGAACGTCTGGAAATTTGAACCCTATGCTATCTTGTGTCATCATTTTATACCAGTAAAATTAATGAAGTCACATGCAAAACCAAGATAATATGTTGGAGAATCTGCATTTAAATAACTGTCAAAAAATGTATTTAATTTGGCTTTAAATTCATCAGAGTTTAAGAAAGACAAGGTCCAAAATTTCAATTTGAAACTATCTAAAGTCAACAAAAAATTACTTCTAATTTCTCATCACATTTCAGAATGCCTCCAGCTTCCCCATTCACAGCTACACAGGCATTTCCCTTTTCTGATATGTTAATCATTTAGACCAAATTCAGAGGACTATCTGAATGTCCCCAAGAGCCACGTTCACAGAACTTTGAACATTCTGCCATGCCTTTCTATCTTTTAGTTATGCCTTTTTTGGCTTCCTTATGACAACATCTGCTTAACTTGACTTTAAGGCAACTATTTTGTGCCTAATTAGCTTGATAAGCCAACATAAAAAATAGGTTTATCCATTCTGGCACCCAGTATAAGGATTAAGCACAACTACAGCTGGCTCTTCTTCAGTGTAAGACATCTTCTAGTTTGCTTCACAGAACTGGAGATATTCTGACAAGTCCTTTCCTTAGCTAACTAAAGTTAAAATTTGAAACTGAAGAGAAAATATATAACACAGCTCTATCTTCAAATGGAGCAGTGGTTTTACAGCACCAGCAATGTAGACCATCACTGGAAAAAATGCATAAATGGCTGCTTTGGAAAAATTTTCCCTTTAATTTTTTTGTTGTTGTTGATCCACCTGCAAGAAGTTCTAATTTCTGAAGAAAGTAAGAAGAAAATTGACAACTCTAGTATAAATGATAAAGACAAAATGGGAAAGAAAAGAACACACTTACTATTCCATGACTAGTACAATGTCATTTTTAGATTCAAAGGCATCATACAGCTGGATGAGGTTCACATGATTCAGCTGGTTCATGACACTGATTTCATTCTTTACTTCATCCTGTAAAGAGTCATGAGTATTGTTTCAGAAAGCTTTTCTCTAAGAAAGCTGCATGAAACAGGACATAGTTTGAACCAGACATCTACATTATCTTCGTGTTTTCACTCGTGGCAACCAAACACATGGTTTTGCTTTGATTACTCCTGCAGTGGTAGATGTCAAGGCTATAGGAACTACTAGGCTGAACTCAGAGCTCAAGTGAGGGACTGCTCCAGTAATAAGTTATCTGGAGGGAAAAGGAAGGGAGAGACCATAAGGACAAGTGGTGGGTTCTCAAGGATGTGAAGAAAAGAGAGAAGCAGAATAGGACTTGGTTCAACCAGCTGTAGGAATACAAAATCAAGCTGTGTAGGAAAAGTCCGGAACAGTCCTCAAAACATCCCTTTGCAGTCAGAGGTGAGAGAGTGCTACCTCCATTCAGCCGAACTATTTCAGATGTGCAGCTTAGGATGGGCTGAATCATTCTCTGGTGTGTCAATCTCACTCTGTTGACTAGAAGGGGATTCTTGGTGATCAGCTTTGCCCTTGGCAACCCCAGTTAGCTGAGACAAATCTCACCCTTGAGTGCCATTAGTGTCACTGCTGTCACACGAAGGATGCTGTGAATGTTTTTCCTGTGAAAGCAAGCCCCAGATGGCTATGCAGTTTGCAAAACAAGCCAGATGAATTCTTCTCATCTGTATTTGTGTTGATGTGAGGAACCCAGATCACGCCTGTTATCAGTATCTCTCACAGTGACATCAAGTCTTTGCAGCAAAGGCTGCAGTCTGCTTGGGAGGGAATAACACTATGTCACAGACCTGACAGATGTTTTCGCCATTAAGGAAAACACTAATAGAATTAACAGCAGAAAGTTAAAAAAGAAAGCCAAAATGACACAAAATGCTGAAAAGAAAGCTGGAAAACATAAGAGGGAAAATCCAAAAAGAGGACTTTGATGAGTTACTAGAAGTTCTGGAGAAGGGAAATAGAACTAAAGCCAATGGTAATCCAGCAGCTCCTATGAGTGTGATGGCTTGTGAGCCACTTGCCCATGGTTTGTTGTGTAGATCACATGCACTGAAGATGTGGGATCCATTGGGGAACAAAAGACTAAAGTCACATTCTACCAACCTTCTGTTTAGGACCTTTTGCTTTTATAATTTTGGCTGCTAGCTTGAGACCTGTTGCTTTCTCTTCACATTTATGCACTTGACCAAATCGTCCTCTGAGGGAGAAAAAAAAATAAAAGAGGGGAAAAAAAATAAATCAGCCAGTGGTACTGATGTTATCCCTGAATGTAAACTAGGTTATAAACATCAGAAATTATCCTCTCCTTACTAAATTCCATTTTCAGTTACTCTATTGCTATTTTGTTGTGTAGATTAGATTTGCTACTGCTCAATTACGCACACCAAAATCACCCATTGTGCTAGCTGATATTATCCCACTTCTGTGATTCACTTTACTCACCTCATAACATGCAATGACTAATCCTGGAGAAGTCAACATAATGTCAGGGTAACAGCTTGCTTATGTGAGCAATCTGTGATCTTCTGATGAAACAAAGCTTTACCCAAGACCATACTGCCATCAGAAATGTCAATATTACTCTTTCCTAAACAATGTCAGCATGAGAGATAATGCAACTACATGGCCTGTCAGATTAGCCTGCTGATCTATCTGAAAACATGCATGCATTTTCAGGGATGGAACCTACTGAGAGAAAGAAGACTACAACATGTCTCTACGTCCTGCAGGCTGCAACGTGAGGTAAAGCATTACAGCATCCTAGGAGCACTGTCATAAAGCCTGAGGGCAGCTGGCTGACCTAGAACAATACCCAATATAAACCAAGTCTGCTGATGCCAAAGCTTAAGCCAAAATTCACCCACACAGTAAAATCAGCCTCCCATTTTCACCCCTTTCTAAAGCACTGTTAGAGCTTAGACTTTGATGACTTTGGCTCTAGTGAGGCATGTTGTTTCCATCCACCTTCCAGCATGCTTGTCTGTAAATTTGTGCCCTGTTTTCCGTATCGATTGGTTTCATCTGACTTACCCTCCCAGGATTTCATTCTCACTGACGTTATAATAACTGCTGATCCCCACCCTTTTGGCTGAGACAATCCGGTGATCAAATGGTGCTGGTGGAGTAGGACTATTGTCTACAAAAGAAAAAACAGACAGATAGCATAATAGTGGTCACATGCAGTACTTGTCTATCTCATGTTTTAGTCCCTCTTTTCCCCAGCTAAGCTCATTTAAGAACTGAATACACCTCCTGTATATTTTACAGACAAGTCTTTTTCCGTTATTGAAGAAGGGGCTTAATGCAAGAGCTCTGGCTCAGAAGGCAGGGTGTTGTTGGGGAGCAACACTACCAAGACAAGGACTTTTTTATTAAGTTGCCATCTTCTGCATAACAGTAGCAAGAGGCAAAATGAAGACTGCTAGACTAAACCAATGTAATTTCATGTCCACAAATGGCCTCAGCAATTTGTTTGGAAGGAATTCGGCTTTTTCTCTGATTAGCCCTCCATCCCCCTTCAGGGACTGTTAGTAGTTGACTGTGTACTGCAATTCTCCAGTCAGGTAGGAAGAGACCTGCTCTAGGCCAGCTAAAAGAGGCTACTTTCCAGGTTTTGCTTTTCATAGTGAAGAATCCCCTCCTCTACTGATTGACACAACTTGTCATTTTCCACAGCATGGTCAAAACCTTTAAAAACACATTTATTGCTTGTGAACAGGAGGGAGTTTCACCCTGGCAGGCAGCACCTGGGATGTCCAGTATGGCTCAGGACCCGGTATGGTAGGACACATGGTAACTGTCACATGCTGCTCTGAAGACTTTCTGTCGTTAAAAAAAGATGGCAGGTAAAAAGGTAAGGAGGAGCACAGAGAAGGGACAGGTTCCCAAGAACACATTGCAGCAGCTATGGAGTTTCGGCACAAATGCAGGTCTCTGGTATTATTGTCTGGACCTCCACATGCTGGACCATTCTGACTTCCTGATGTCAAAATCCCTGCTGGAGACCAGCCCTCCACGCCTAATTTCTCTTTGGATTTTTTGCAGGGTGTTGTGACTTCAATTTCATACCCACGTTGTTTTGCATTTGATTGATATCCCCGAGAGTGACCTCTGGCTGACCAAGGTGACAAATACTTCTTCAACTGGTTGGGAGGGCTAGAGCCCCAGTGTTTCAACATGAGCTCTCTGGTTTGGAATGCCGGCTCCCTTTTGTGAGAGGCTTGTTGAGCAAGTTTAAAACCATTCATTACTCCAGTGAAAATGATTAAAAACACAAACAAATATAACCCATGACAGCATGTAGCTGGCAGGAACACTTTGGTCATTAATGGAGCAGTAGATTGTCCTTATTCACAGTGAATGTCCATTTTTCAGGACACCAGCTGTGTACCTAGAATATTTTTTTTTGACTGTTAATAACTTACATGGTCAGGAAGTTAGTTCATGGTCAAGGAATTGTGAAAAGCTGGGGCTTCTGGAAGTTTGCCACTTACTTGGGACTCTGCACAGTCTGAACTGCACAACCTTAAGTATGGGCCTTTGTGTATTACTGAGACCCACAAAATGCCAAGAAAACCTCTACCCTAAAGGCAGAATTTTCATACACAAACTCCAAGAGACCTTGTAAGGGCTTGTAAGTGACAGAAGAAAATGTCTCTCTGAAAGCTCAGCTCCCAAATATTACCAAAATCTGAGCAAGGATGTGCTCTTCTAAAGAGGCCAGAGTGCCTCTTTGAAACTATGTCTAAGTTTTAAGCTTCAAGATTTTCCCAGTGACAGACCCTCTACTTTTTTTTCCTGCACACCAGAAGGGATTTCTCTCTATTCAACTATGAATTCCTATTACAGATTAAAGATGCTCCAAGAGAGACACTCTTAACCTTAATGTCATCCTTAATAATGTGGCAGAGCTCGGGACAGCTTATGGAGTTTAAATTTTAAATACGCTATCTACTGTTTTCCTGCTAAAGAGCCTAACACAAACATTTAAGAAATGTTTCCATTTCCTACTCTCCCCCCATTCCCAAAGCAAAGCAATTTATTTTCAGTCCTATGCATGCACATGCATACACATACAACTTCAAATCCTTCATGCCATTCTCTCATGTATCATCATTTCATACACAAGGATAGGCAGTGAAATTCTCAAGCTGGAGGTCTAATAATAGAAATCTCTGCCTTATGCTGGTGAGTACTGCTTCAGAGTTTGGTGCACGAGCAACATTTCTCTGTGTGTTCAACAGCTTCAGTCGGGCTTCCACACAAAAATATATTTCTTTATTTTATAGGCTGCAGTTGTTCTCACTTCAGATTGCAAAAGTACAAATATGACCAAGCTGCTTTGCAGGCTACACTCTGAGCATTGCAGATTCTGTGTTAACTCATGCTCTCAGCACTTCCACAGGTCAACCAATTTTGCCACAGATGACAAAATTTCTCCCACCAGTTTAAACTTAGGACTTTTAGCTCTATTGTTAAAAGAAGAGGGAAAGTGGATAGTATTAGTGGACTAGTTGTGGCAGAAGCACGCCAGTTATGACTAGTTTGTGCCAGAACTGAAGCCTCTAAGATGGTAGCAAATAGAACCATGTTATTTCCCATCAGCTTAGGATATGGCCCATGAACAATTGCTTCCTGTCAGAGCTACCATGCACACCTTTTCCCCCTACTAATTGCAATCATGAAATCATTCTCTTCTACAGATGTCTCTCTGATTATTACAGTGGAATCAAATGCTTTGCCTTTAGGAATACTTCCTATAAGAGCTTGTTTTTTTTAGTTTTACATGTGCCATCAGCACTTTCTGCATCTACCCTGCTCTTTTCATGGTCATCTTTGATTAGGCCTTCAACATTCAATCCATGCTTACTGCTACCACTATACTCAAATTGGAAGGTCTGCTCAGCGACTCAACTATAATTTCCTGTACCTTTTTCGCAGCCTTTACACCTGCAAGGACAAAACATTGCATTAGTGCAGGGTACATTTAAATCAAAGCAATTTAGAAACATAGGTAAAAAATGCCTACAGTATATTGCATTCAAATAACATTAGCTTATTTTTCTTCATGGTGTAAAATAAATTGTTTTAATACTCACTTTCAGTAATAAAAATTACCCCTAAGTTAATCATGACAGCAAAGTGTTTCCCCAGTACCGAAATCTTCACCTAAGCTCTTCTAACTTTAATGTTTCGCTATCAATCTCATCTTTAAAGCAATGGGAGAACATTGGAATTTCACTCTGTACATATAGGTTTGTGAGAGCTTAAACTGGTTCATCACTGAAGGGTTACATATCAATGCAGTGAAGAATTACAGTAAAAAAATTATCAGTTTAATTGCCTGAGCAAAGTTTCATGGGTTTATGTGATCATTTAAGTAACTGCATTTTGCAGTAACTTAATTCTCAATTGATACACAGCCTGATCTAACCTTGCTTTGCTCATAGGTTATATGATGCTGCAGTATACAAATACAACAATGAAGAATTCTCCTCAGAAATGAAGACTAGTCCAACACAATTCCCATGTTCCTAAATTTTTTCCCAAGCAAACAACCAAAGCACACTGCTAGCACCATGTATGGTAGATTGTTTTAAGAGTATAATTTCAGCTTAGAGCTCAGACCAGAGACATAGACTGATTTTACTCTTTTGTACTGGGCTGGATTTTCACTAGTATTTACGTTAACCAGCCACTTTGACTCGAAACTTGAACTTCACTTTCTAGAGCATGAGTCTCTTAAGAATGTGCAGCCTGAGCTTCAGACCTTACCTTCCCTCTGGTACCTCTTCATCATCGCTTTGTCCTGCCTCATCTTCATTTTGGGAAGGAGCTGGTGGTTCCTCAGCATCTTTTTCACTCTTATCAGCATTTTTCTCCCCTTCTTTCTCCTTCTTCTCTTGTTTTTCAGCTCCAGATACCTGATGTTCCTCCTTCCTCTCCCCATCTGCTGGAGGCTCACTCTCTACCTCCTGCCCCGTTATCCTTTCACAAGCATCAACAACATCTTCTTGCTGCTTTTCTGCAGTGATGGATTTCTGAACAGAGCTTCTCCTACATTTGGAATAGCCTTCAAAAGCCAAACTTTCTCCTTTATCCTCTGGCCCTTCATTATGACATTTGGAAGGATCCATTCGAAGCAGAACAGAACTTTCCCTCTTGGCATTTTCCTTGTTGAGCTTACAAACTTCTTCCTGAGAGCAGGACTGACTCTTTTGGATGGCCCCCTCTGTAAGCAAACAGATTACAAAGGAATCTGTCAGTAATTCTCTGATAGTCAGTAACAAAGTAGGGTTGCATACTTAGCATAACTGCTGTTGCATTTTGAGCCAGGCACACTTGCTATTCTCTCCCACTTTCAAGGTCAGTGTTAAGTTCTCCTAAGCAAGAATAGACTATTTCTTTAAAACAGGGACATCATGGGTCATAAAGTCTTCCTTTTAGACGCAGCATTGAAAAACATTTTTTCTCACTCAAATTTATTGTCAGCCAAGTGAAGGTTGATAAACTCCTAAGGCAAAGCATTTTTTTAGCAGTTTACCACTATGTACACAGGCATGTGAAAAGTAGGTTGATACTGCTTGAACAATTCTCACCCATGCTGATGGGCACACACATAACCCAAAGAACTTCACTGGAGCTGTTCAGAAGAGTAATGGCTATTTCTGTGCAGTTGTACCCTTAGGAACTAGAAACTGATCAGAAACAAAAAATATTCTAACCTGTTGAATCTGGTGGCTTCTTCTCTTTTTTTCCCGTTTCATTAACATGTGACTTTTCTTTGATGACCTGTGGAGAAGGCAATTGATGTCAATCCAAGTATACAGCGTTCATGTTGCACTCTTCCTCATGAAATTGCAGACTGATTTATTTTTTGTCAAATCCAGGTACTCTGTGTTCTAATTCATGCTCTTTTTATAAATTATGATCTTTATTTTAATCACTACCAAGCTGAGCAGATTGGTACCAGTGTAAAGCAAGAGAAATGATCTCAACTGTAATAGACATCAGTGTTGGCATAAAAACAGAAAAGATCAGGATTGAGCCTTAGAGACTTAAAGCAAAAAACATCCAGAAGTGAGCTTTTGCCCTGCACTAGCTTATGCTGTTGAAAATTAGGTTAGTTAAACCAAAGCTAGGACTATTTAGTGTCCTAGTAAAATGTTCAGTAACAGTCTTACTGACAGATTTCAAAAAGTTTTGCTGTTAATCAACGTCTGGTTACAGCAATTTTAATGATCCAATAATTTCTTAGAGGCTGATCGAAACAGTTACCAGAAAGTGGAGCATATAAACCAGGATGTCAGTTTTGTAGGGCTCTCTTACCCACATTTTACAATGCTACAGTGACATCTAGAGGTGCTTTATACCAAGCCAGCTCCTCATAAAAACTGCTGTTACTGTTACCTTTATGGCCATTTACTCATATTCCTATGCTGTTTGCTCAGTGTGTTTTTTTTTAAATTGGCTGCTCCTAAACTTTTAGTAGGACAGTGACCACAGCAAACCATGGTTTCTGCTAATGCTCAGTGCTCCTTTTCCACCTGCCTTCTTCCTCTCATAGTACTATGAAACTGGCACTATCATTATTAGTAATAGATCCACATGGTGTGAAAAATGCAGATACCTCCAATTATTTTCCAGAGAGACTACTTTTGGTCTTCGAGCTACCAGCTGAAGCAGTGTAATACATATTTCAACAAAATATACAGGACCAAGCACTTAATTTTGAGTGTTTTAATCATGCAAGCAGTCCCACAGCTTATTCATATTGTATTCTGAGCATGAAACAGTCCTATTACTAAACATTTGTTCTGGAAAGCTTTCTGCATTTTTTATGATTCTTTCTTTTTTTTTTTTGTTTCAATTTCATCAGACTATATGGAAAATGAGCATGAAATTAAAGCAATGTGTGTCAGCTACAAATTGTTCAAGGGAAAGAAAGCGAAGAAACAAAAAGAGTTGAGGAAAATTGGATGAAACAACATGAAAGGATTTCAGCAGGACTTTTCGGAAAACCTTGATCTGCAAGGGAAAAAGAAACTGTAATATGAGCATCAGAACTGCAACTGACAACTATTTGGGATGCAGTTCGTCCCAGGAAGTTGCAAGCCACAAAATGAAAAAGGCATAAATACAACTTGGTAAGTACCCTTGAAACATAAATTGGAGCCCTGCTCACAAGGAACTTAAATATAAATGTAATGGCTCCAGATAGATCACAGATAGATTCTGGTTTTTTAATAGTGAAAAACCACTAAAAGTAGTAGGAAAAAGCCTCAGACTTATACATTCTGCAGTGTGACCTCAATTAGTAATGCACTCAGATTCCTGTAACTATTTCAGCCTCACCGTACCACTGAGGACATCAGCTCAGATCAAATACAGTCAGCTGAGCAAATAACCAGAGAGAAATGGCCTCTAGACTGTTTGATGAACGGGGCCAGTTTTCACTTCTGCATTCAGAATTAATTGCAGGCACACAGCACTTCCTACTAAACACTGCTGTATTTTGCAGGTGTGAAATACAGAAGCCAGCTTTGAAAATCTGTCTAAGGGAAGGAACACTGGACGATGCTGAATAACTGAAATTGCCCTAGTGTTACATAAATTACTGCAGTGTTTATTAAAGCGTCATTTCTGATCTCTTACTTTTTAACAGCAGCAGGAGCTCATACTAATTTAAATAAAAAAAAAAAGAAAAAGAATACAAATAAAATATTTACTGGTATCCTTCAGAAACAATAAATGTAGCTATCTGCAAAAAAAAATATAGTGTCAACAGTGCACTGGAATAAGAACTACAGATACAAGGACTGGACACTGGACTATTTGTAGAGACATGTAGTCTACACATGAGCATCTCAGTTTTCTCCATGTTTTGCTATTTGTAGCAACATGTGACTTCAACTTGTCAAACCTCAACCCAGCAATAAAAAACATGAAGTTTTGTTCATTATTTCTTCCCTGTGAAGGGTGGGATTGAACCAGGTTGTCTGGAGCAGACAGAAATCAACATGTCCCTCCCAGCCAGGCCACAGGAGGCACAAAGCCCTCCTGGTGGTCTTCCAGGGCATGTGCTCCTATGGCGTCTGACCCTATGCAGTTGGGCCAGCTGCAATTAGAGCCCACAGGCTGCAAGCACCCAAGGCCATAAGGCTTTTCTGAAAATCTCATCCGAAAGGTATAGTGGTTTGTTAAGGACATCCATCCCACCTGACTACTCATTATAACACCCCTCTTCTTCAGTCTGATTGCAGTGTCTTCTTAAGGGTCTTTTTGATATAATCCCTATTGGGATTTTATTTATTTATGTATCATTCTCCCTGAATTTTGGTGACATGACTTTTTCTAGTCTGTAATTTCTAAAATTATGGAAATCAGTATTTCTTAATGGAAATTACGCCTCCACCTTATTTTTCCTTTTTTTTTTGAATGACTTGATTATGCGCAATAAGGTTAATGGCACTGCAGTCATTTTCTCTATTTGTAGAAGCCAAAAGCTTTCAATCAAGTTTTCATTTTAATTCCACAAAAGGTTAAATAAGAAAGGTTGCATTGTGACCCTGCAAAAATACCAAAGCAAAAAGGTGTCTGTGCCTACACTAGTTGGTATTGTGTCTTCAAAAATACATTTTGCAGACTTAAACATATACTTTCACATGGAGCGTTGCTAGAACCTAAGTAATAAAGACAGAATAAAAACCCACTTGATGATAACAGAATAATGAGAGATTTTCCAGAGACTGAAACTTTAGTATAGACAAATTGGAAAAAAAAAAAAAAAAAGAAAAGAAAGCCTTTCAGAAATTTTTTAAATTGAGTTTAGAAACCTGCAGAAATTAAGCAATAAGCAATTATATATAAAAATATAATAAATTTTTACAGACATTTCAAATGCAGCATGAAATCAATGTTTTTTTTATAGACAACTGACTCCTTTTTAATGACCTATACTTAGTTAAATTCCTTCTTTATACTGTACCAGTCCTACCCTTGGAATGTTTTCCTAGCTAACTTTCAAATTTTTTTATTCACCTAATAAAACTCTTTGATTTTTTTTTCCTACTGCAAAAATTTTTGCAATGAATGGCCTCACAACACAGTCCCAGCTTTTTAGTTAGAGGTCCTTTATCACCTCATCACATTTTGTTTGATGTCAAGGCATTATTCTCAACTTCAATCAGACGATACCAAGACACAAAACTGCATATGCCTAAATCCCATTTCTTACTTGGTGTCTTTTTCTCATGTCCTTAAGATACTTTGAGGAGCTTTGTTATGGCAGGATATCCTGGTTTTGTGTAAGACCTGATCACCATCCATTTATCCAGATGATTAAGTTACTTGCGCTTTGCAATGAATTCATTTCACTGACAGGAATTAGCCAGGGACCTTGCCACCTGAGCATGGTACTGTGATTGCTCCTAGTTATCTCCACACTGGTACACAGGAAAATGCATCACATACAACAGAGACCTGGGGACAACAGCATGCATGGTGGTGCTTCCTGTGCTATCCCTCAAAGCTGGAATCCACCCCCTGCCTTCCCTTTTGTGTTTCTCCTCAATATACACCCTTTTTTTCCCACTAGCTATGCAAAATATTCACTGAACGTATTTTTTTTTCAAACCTGTAAATGGTACAGAATGTACACATGGGAATTCTGTTTTTATACTGTCAGGCAGTTCATCTGCTTCTGTATCACTGTTTTTTGCTACATTACACAAACTGCTGGCATCTTCAGGCAAAGATTTTGACTCTTCCGTAATCTTTATAGAGCTTCTTGAACTAGATAAAGAAATCATTCTTCTGCATTAACCAAGTTACTTCTGCAAACTCAAGTCACAAGTATCTTCTGAACACTCACAAAAATAACATCTGAGATGAGAATTGTGATTCCCCCAATAGGAAATACAAGAGAATTTTTATGTGACCTGCTGACTTGAAAATACATTCATAATGAGGTAACAATCTCTGCATGAAGACACATACTAAATACTGAAAAATCCCTCAGAGTAACACCATCCTAGGTAAGAAACTGAAGATCAACCAAGCCAAAAGCCTTGTCCATTCTCCATTTCACTTTGTCAACTTCTCACCTGCTTCACTGGAGAAGCAGTGCCTGACATGTTTTGAATGGATGCTTCCTCCTGCCAGGCTATTCTTCTCAAAACAGGGAATCTTACACTGAAGAGCCAAAAAGGCTTTCATGCAACCAGGCTTATGATGGAGCCCATGGCCTTGAGCATGCCACCTGCTACGGTGAAGACACAGCATATTGTGCTAACAGGTTGCTTTTTAACATCTTTACTTTTGCCTTAAGGTTTAGTCAGTGTCTTTTAACAGAATCAGCATCATGCATAAGAAGAGCTTTGCAGGTAGATATTTTTTAACTCGAATCAATTGGTATAATTTTAATATTTCTCGAATACACAGAGGCCTGTAATAATGACCAACAAATCTGAGGTTACCAATCCACCTCCTAAGACCAAAGCATTCAGCATTACCTGGCTTTGATACATGTCCTTTCACTGTATCTGGGAAATCAAATCAACCTGTTACTATCAATTTTGGGTTTTTCACCTGAACAAATCAGGGGCAATGTCAGGCAAACACAACCTCTGGAGACTGTGGCTGCTTGTCTTATTGTCAATATTGGACAGCCTCATATCTACCCCTTCTCTATACTGCTCAATGTACTCACATATGTGATGCCTGCCCATGTGCTTCACAGGTGCATGTGCCTCATATGCACCTGTACCATAACTCTAACATTTTCCGTGTGC